ATATCAAATGTGGAGGAGGAGTGCGAGTGACGTCACGTGCCATCATCGCAGTCCTTGATCGGATTGTTTCTTATTATGAGTGCATTTTCCTTGCATTTTTAAGCATGAAAAATTGTTATTTCCTTTGAAAACAGTGTTTTTTTAAATTTAGCAGACTTCAAAATTTTGTGTGCTTGAGTGGTTGGGCTAATTACGAAGATGAGTTTGTTTGCTTGCTGCTTATCAGCAAGGTTATTTCAGGCACGTGATTTGTGAATTGAAACTGTTTGATCCAGTCAGGCTGAGTACGGCTTTGCACTCCACGGAGTGGAACAGTATGAGTATGGATATCGTGACGTCATACGCGGTCATAAGCCCAACGCAAAAGAGAACAATCTGAGAGCTGAAGCTAACATGAACAGGATCTTATCGTTTCGAGTGGGCTCAGAGTTTACAGTGTGTAAAGCCGAACTCAGCCTCAGTAGCTGTGTTCGGCATTATCATTTTTTTTTGTCGATTTGCTCCGAAATTTTGACAGGCACGTGATTTGTAACTTGAAACTGTCTGATCCAGTCACGTGCCTGTCAAAATTTTGGAGCAAATCGTCGAAAAAGATGATCACGCCGAACACGGCTACTGTACTACAGATGGAGGGTTAGCGATGATCAGGTGGGGGATTGTCATCCTCTAGTCGCAACCTATCGGCCCGATTATCCCATTGCCTTTCTACAGGTGAGTCGGGATGATAGGTTGCGACCAGAGGATGAGAATCCGCCCCCTGGCCATAGCCGGTTTCGGGTGCTCCTAGAACACTTCACACCTGTCAGTGACCTGTCATACTCCATACGTTTTGCACTCGAACGCTTGAAACCGAACGGATCAAACTCATAGTTGGCCGGAGTACTTCGGAGTAACTCGGGAGCGCTTAAAGGATGGGACCCGAAAGCAGCTCATGACAACTGTAATTTTTGACGTTCAATAGCTCAATAATAGATGGCACCACAATAAATAGTGTAATATAATGAATAATTTGGAGTAAATCCTATTCAAAAGTGTCCAGTTTATAATAGGTCTATTCCAACACGTCAAAATCCGTCCCATGAACGGTTTAGAAACCACTGTAAACGAATTTTGGATTCTACGCACAAATTTTAAGCTTATTTGAGCAGAACTGCGACGGTACATTGTACGGTTTCCTGCTGTGTTGGAACATAGCTATAAGTTTTGTTCCAACACATCAAAAATCGTTCCATGAACGGTTTCGAAATCATATTCTGTATACGAAATTTGGGTTTTATTTCAATGGGCTTTATGCATAAATTTTTTTGATGTATAGGAACCAATGGTGTGAACAAAGCTAAAAAATAATTCGGATAAAAACGATTATAGAACACTTATTGTACGCTTTCTTTTGTTGGAAAATTGATCTAGTGCATTCCGGATCGATTCTAAACTAGTTCTGCCAAGTTTAGGAGTTTAAAAAGAACCATAAGTTGAAAATACGCACAACTTTATGCCACTATATTCAAAATAATTGAGGAGTGATAAAGAATTCCGGGCTATAATTTCCTGTTCCGAAATTGTTCGCGGTATAGTTATTCAAGGATAATACACACTATTAGGATTGGTTATCGGCCTCGTTTTTGGTAATTGCGGCCATATTGGTTTAGCACCATTGCCGACGTCATTAACTAAGTCGTCAGCAATTTGTGCCAGCGGACGTAGCTCAAAATTAAAATTTATGTTGAAAAACATTATTCAATTTTGATTAACGTAATAGGCAAAGAGAAAGATGCAAACGAGATCTAAAAAAGAGTTGTTTTAGAATGTTAATTAATGTATGCATAAGCAAAAGCCTGCAGAATCATAACCCGTGGTGCAAACAGCCTACGTCAGGGCGAGAAACGCTACGTCATCACTGGTGCTTTGGCTGGGGGACTTAACATTTGTACTACACAGGCCCTATGAGGATAAGCTATCCTGTAGTAGTAGTGTGTATTATCTTTGATACTTGATAGTTATTTACCTAAATTATGCGGAAAGTTATAGTTTTCCGCACGCAACGGCGTTTGCTAAGTAAATTTCTTTACAAAAAGAACATATTCAATCCAGGAGAGACTTTGGTATACTTGTTAAAGGGGGTGTGCGCCAAAAAAACAACTTCATCTCAAAAAAAAAGAGAAAAAAAATCTAAGAATAACAGTGAAATCCGCACCCCTCTATGACAAATAATACCGCAGATATGGCTCCATGAAGGTACCGCATCTCACCCTATGACGTCACGAAAGCTCAAGCGACGCACGAGAAAGTGGATTTAATTAAATTTATATAATGTTTTTCCTGTGTTACCTGCAATAGTCTAAACAAAAACCACTCACGCGTGCCGGGAACAATCAAATTAACAATGCAGAGCGCCTCTGGACGAAGTTTTCGTGACGTCACGAGAGCGTCGTCCACACTTTAAAGCGGTATATCTCAGCGATGGTTTATCGTAGAATAACGAGGTTTGAACAGTTATTCTTAGATTTTTTTACACTAAAACTTTAATTTTTGGCGTACACCCCCTTTAAGGAGATTTGTGACCCAAGAGGAGATATCCAAAGATAATTTTAAGTATTACATATTTCAGGAAATCCCAAGAGATCTAAGTAAAGTTGAGGATATTCAGAGAACATCCTAGGATATTGTTTATTGCGTTTGGAAGAAAGAATATCCAAAGAAATCTGGATGAGAAGCTTCAACGAGATCCGAGTATTACTGATAGCGATTTTCATTTGACGAACCAGTGCAAAAAAGTTTTATTCTTATCCTTACATTTTATATGCTTTTAGAAAAAGATGCGGATATTGAGGGATATACTCAGTAGTCAGTGCACACTGACTGACAAATGGAAATCGCCGTGAGACGCTCCAATGATATTGAAGAGATATCTGAGCAGATGCAAGAAAATTTCACGCGCGCTGTGCGGAAAAGTGATACTTTTCGCAAGCAAATCGATGCGTGAAAAGCTCGTAGGAAAAATATAATCCTGCTCTAGTACATAATAAGGCAAGGCATGCCCTCTACTTGAATTAGTTCTGAATTGGTTCGGAATGTGGTCTTTGATCGCAATAGGGCTTCAGAATAATAATTAGCATGCGGACATAGTACAAATCAAATCATATCTAATATTTGACGTGGAACTTTTTACGCGCGCTTATTGGAGTAAAATTTCAAGGCTGTAACACACGAGTTAGGGCGGGTATTATAAAACTAGTTTGAGAGTTAACTTAAAGTTAACTCTCAAAGTGGTTTTATAATACCCGCCCTTAGCGAGACGAAAAAGCGTCACGATACTTTTCAATGGTTGTATTCCTTTCACACCTAGGAGGAGCTCTGGAACTGCTCCGAGGCGTTACGCGCTTATTCCTTTCGAAAAGTGTTTGTTGCACCTGAAGTGCTGAAGCCCGAACTAAACCATTCAAATGCACGGATGTCAGCGCATCTGCGTTCGGTATTTTGACCTGAGTTCTCCTAGCTTGAATTTACCATTCGTTTATTTAAAAAGTGTGCTTGGTGCAGGCTCATAAGCGTTCGTTTATTAAAATTTCAAGTGTTCTGATTCTGATACAGCGTTTAACTGCTCTGTACGCTCGCTGGTCACGTGATTACTGCTTCGCTTCAGCACGCTCTGCTTTCTGAGCAAAATACCAAACGCAAGGTGAAATTTATTGTGGTAATATACCTCTGTAATTTTTGACGTTTTGTAGCTTATTAGTAGATGGCGCCACAATAACTAATGTAATCTATAGTGACTGTAGTTGAGTTCGGAATGGGATTTTAGTGCAGTGCTAGTACGGTGTTCGTGTAGTGCAGTGTTGCATCACGTGATGAAGGTGTAATCGATGGTGTAACACCAAATACACTATCACTTTGTAACGAGTGAACGGTGTCCCACCATCTTTACACCATTTGGACACCAAATCATGTCCAAAGTGTACACCAAACTTAAGCTTTGTACTCATAACTGCGAAATACGCACTTTTTTGACATTGCTTCGAGAATTTGACGTTTTATGCGTGAATCAAACGTCAAATTGTCGAAGCAACGTCAAAAAAATTCGAATTTCGCAGTTATGAGTAATAGGCTTTACTCGTACCAATTAACGAACGCCACAGTGTCAATAGTGTAGAAAGTGTCGCCTTCTACCATTCCGAACTCATCTTGTATACTACAGTGGTGTAATCAGTTCAATCTTTTTTTTTGTAAACAACTTAATTGATAACAACAATAACAACATTTGTTTACAAAATTTTTTAATCAGTGTAAAATCACTGGTGATCTAATCAATAATTTGGAGTAAAGTCCATACAGCAGTCTAGGTAGAGATTATGATAAACGATTCGGATTACATAAGTTGTATTGCTTTCACACCTAGGAGGAGCTCCGGAACAGCTCCGGGGCGTTACGCGCTTATTCCTTTCGAAAAGTGTTTGGAAGGCGAATGTTCCTTTCAACTCGGGGTCGACTTACACACTGGAGCGAGTAGCTCTAGAGGTTAAAACTCTTGAAAGGATTACAACTATTATTAAGCTATCCCAGAACAATTATTTTCTTTCATTGAAAAATAGCTCTAGTGTAGTTGGAATCGACACTTTGAAACCAGTGTCATTCATCATGAAAAGAACGAGCTGATTTTCATTGAACTTGGACGTGCAAGGAAGAGCTTCTACTTCTAAATCCAGACAGTTAAAAACCTAAATGATATACATATCGAAACTATCGATATTTTCTCATATTAATATCGATTTGAGAAAAAAGTAGTGGTTTCGAAAAAAAAATATCGTATCGATTACATCCCTACAAAACAGTCACAAATCAAATGATCTGTCAACTGTCAATGTTCTTTTTTTTTCTACACACCGCTAGATTTTTGATTTTGATTGAGGTTAGGAAATAGTTGGCTTGTGTGTGAGTAGTTTGTTTATTAGAAAATTTTCAATTTTGGAAAAGACCAGTTTTATTTTAGAATCATATAGAACATGGACGCCCCTCCTGCCGCTGGAATCTGCAAAATCAAAAAAGAGTGAGTACTTGTTTGATTTTATACTAAAAAACTTGAGAAATCATGAAACAATGAACTCCTATGCAAAAATTGTATTTTTTACCTTGTTCAACTCCTAGAACACTTAATTATTAGTTCTTTCTATCAAAATCTTCTAGATTTATTTTGCCAGAACAAGAACGCAAACTAAACTTGGACCATGTATCCGAAAAAGACAAAGCCAATCTAGAAGAACCGGAACCGGTAGACCCAGAAGACAACGACAACGACGAAGATTTAGACGACGATGTCAAATCTGATGCGGGCGAACCCCAAGTGAAAAAAATCAAAATCAGCAAAAAGAAGCTGAAAGGCCAAAACAAGAAACGCGGCCGCACATTTGCTCCTGATAGAAGTCACGAGCTCTGCGACTTTTTACTGCAAGCGCAAGACGGTCAAGAATTGCCAACTTGTTTCCGTAAAAGGTGCACCAACTGCCACGACATAGAAGAATACCTGAAAAAGAAGCCTGAAGATATAGGCCCTGTTTGCACTAACTTTGAAAAAACAGGCAAATGTCCTAGAGGACTTGCCTGTAGGTTTGGCAAACAACATATTACTGAGTCAGGCAGGAATGTTATTAATCAGGCAAAGTTGGATGAGTATAACAACAAAGGGCCATCTGTCAAGAATCAATTTAGTAAAGATGTGCAGTGGGCTTTGCGGAAGAGGAACTATGATTTTAATTTGGCTGAAAAGTTGATTGATTCTTATGATAAGGATGCTATACACATGACACCGGATGAGGTACACTTATTTGGGGTTTAATATAAAGACTTTGCATGGAAATTAAACTTTAGATATTTTTTTTTCAGGGAGTAAAGCGCAGAGAAATAATGTTTGCATAAAATGTTTCCTTCAAAAATACATCTAATTCCTTTAATTTTTTTCCTCAAAAGTTCCTTCCAAATTTGAATTGAGTATGTCTATTTGAGTTTTCCAAAATTTTGATTCAAAATTATCTAAAGAACTATAGTATTTTTAACACCCATTTGGAATATCTCCATCCTTGTTTATCAATCATGGATCAGATGAAACAAAAAAAAAAATTACCAACCAATCACAAATCACTAAAAGGACTGGTACTTCCAAATAGATATTAAAAATACTATAGATCCGGAGTTAGTTTTTCTTTTCCAATTATACTTTCCTAGTTTTCCTTCCCTTTGTCTTTGTCTGATGATTGTTTTCCATTCCTAGCTTTTCAATTTTCGCCCCTTTCTTCTAGCCTTTAATCATTTTACATAATAGGAATTTATTCTCAATCTTTATTAAATTTTCTGTATGTGTTTTCCATTTTTTTTTTGTCTCAATTTTTGTCTATTCTCGGCTCTTGAATTGATTTCTTCTTAATTTTTATTGAATTTCTTCTCTATATTTCTTTTTTTTTTGTTTCCATTCAAGTAAAATTCTGGGGTTGAGATACTTGTTTAAGAGATTTCTGTCTCAAGATGAGAAAATTATATCCAAAGATATGAAGGAGATTCTCAGAGATCCAAGTAGATTTGAGGAGATTCAGAAGATATTTGAGAAGATACAGGGGATACTTGTTGAAGAGATTTGTATCCCAAGAAGAGAAAATTTGGAGATATCCAAAGATATTATATATTTCAGGAAATCCTAAGAGATCCAAGTAAATTTGAAGATATTCAGAGGATATCCTAGGGGATTGTTAATTGTCTGGCATAGGAAGATATCTGGAGAATCTTTAACAAGATACAAATATTACTGAGACGCTCCAATAAGGTTAAAGAGATGTCTGAGCAGATCCACAAAGATTTTGAAGAAATTTTGTATGCCAGGAAAAGATTTAAGAATATCTAAAGATATTAAGGAGATTCCCAAATATTCAAGGAAATTTAAGGAGATCCAAGGAGAATTAGAAGATATATGAGAAGATCCAGGGGAAAATTGGGAATACTTGTTACAGAGAACATGTTTCTCAATTTTTCTATGTCTCATATTTTTCGTCCATTTGCAGCTCTTGACCTTATGTTTTCTTTCTAATTTTCCTGCATAAAGATAATCCAAAAGCCAGGAATAGAGAAAAAAAATGTCTACCTACATAATTCCTGTAATTTTTGCTAATAATTCATTTACATTAAAATTCCTCTGTGTTTTACTCATTCAATATTTTTTGAGATAAATTCTTGGGGCTTGTTTTTCCTGAATTCAATTTTTCTAGCTCTTTACCTTTTTAAAGCGCCCAAACAAAAAAACCTTTGGCAACGTCACAGACGAGGACATAGTAAAACTAAGAACCAAAGAAAAGAAAGTGATTGATTGGAAAGACAAACTATACTTAAGCCCTCTTACCACAGTAGGGAATTTACCATTTAGACGTATTTGTAAAGAATTCGGTGCAGATGTGACTTGTGGAGAAATGGCTTTATGTTCCAGCCTTTTAAAGGGAATGCCACAAGGTGCAATCCACAATATTTTTTTGCTGAAAAATTTCAATATTTTTATTGTAGAATGGGCTTTATTGAAACGCCATCACACTGAAGACATTTTCGGGGTGCAACTTTGTGCCAACAATCCTTATGTGCTCACCAAATGCGGACAAATGATTGAAAAAGAGTGCGAGGTAGATTTTGTTGACCTCAATTTGGGATGTCCCATTGAATGGGTATTCAGAAAAGGAGGAGGTTAGTAGTGATTGACAAAATGTTGAGTTGACACAGAGTTAATAAAATTGGTTTAGGTAGTGGTTTATTACTGAGACCGAAAATCTTGGAATCGTGCGTCAGGAACCTGAGCGACATCTTAACCATTCCCTTGACTGTTAAAACAAGAACTGGAGCCTACAAGGATGAAAACATCGCTCACGAATTGGCCCCGAAATTCAGAGATTGGGGTGCTTCTTTGTTGACTATTCACGGCAGATCCAGGGAGCAGAGATACACGAAAAGTGCCGATTGGGCTTATATCGGGCAAGTGGCTCGAGCTGCTAGCCCTATGCCTGTTTTTGGGTGCGGCGATGTACTGAGCTACGAGGATTATAACCAGTATAGGTAAGCAGAAAATTACTACTTACTCAGAAAAATTGAAAAATTGATAAAACACCCCAACTTACTTAACACAATTTTATCTCAGGAACTATTAGTTCAAATGAGCTGAAATTTTCAGGCATTGTAGTCCTTTTATTGAGATAAATTTCAGTGGAAATTTCAGCTTTCTATCTATAATAGAAAAAAAGTTATGCCCTTCCAAAGTTTTCTTTTAATTCTGTAGTTTCGTTTACGGATCAATAAATTCTACTTGTTCTAGAACATGTTCAGTTTCATTTCAAAAGTGTAGTGCAAGTCTCTACCACAATATTATTGGTTTAGATTGTTTACTGCACTTCTTGTTCTATTCTAGTTGCTCTACACTTTCTGAACTGCATTTCTTGTACTGCATTTTCTGTTCTATTCCATCTGCACTGTATGTACAGGGTTATTGGTTATAAATGTCACCCCCCTCTATCTTTTTTATTTCACATTTTAGAAAAAAGTGTCCCAAATAAAAGTTTTATGGTTGAAATTAAATTTTTTGAAAAACTCACTTTCGCATATACAGGGTGTTTCAGAAAAGCTGGTTGTGCTCCAAATTTCTGATTTCAAATGGAATATCCTATATATTATTGGATATTCGGATTCTACGTAAAATTCTGAGCAGATTTCATGAAATATTGACAGTTGAAAATTGACTTTTTTGCAACTTTGACAGGCTGTAAATCTTAAACGGTTAATTTTAGAGCAAAACCGATCTTACATTTTTATCTTAGATTTTTTTAAACTATCAGTTGACACCAATATTTGACATCAATTTTGAATTTGATCCATGACTGAATATTCCAATTAAATTTAATCTTCGGTTAAATTCAAAGTTGGTATCAAATGATAACTTGTGAAAACTTAGAAAAAAATGTAAGATCGGTTTTGCTCAAAAGTTAACCGTTTAGGTTTTACAGCCTGTCAAATTTACAAAAAAGTCAATTTTCAACTGTCAATATTTCCAAAACAGTTGAACTTAGGTATAGGGTATATCACATGAAATCTGCTCAGAATTTGATGTAGAATCCGAATACTAAATAATATACAGGGTATTCAATTTAAAATAAGAAAGTTGGTGCACGACCAGCTTTTTTGAAACACCCTGTATATGCAAAAGTGAGTTTTTCAAAAAATTTAATTTCAACCATAAATTTTTTATTTGGGACACTTTTTTCTAAAATGTCAAATAAAAAAGATAGAGGGGGGTGACATTTATAACCAATAACCGAGGGGTACGTTCAAGGACGGCAATGCTAATGCCAAAACCTACCTTTCCCCCTCCACCCTGTAATGCCAAACCACGTAGGTTGGAGCCGAACTCAAACGCAAAATGCCAATTTTGGCTTGGCTATAGCCATTCCTGAACGCAGCCCTGTACTTCTAATTCTCCGTGCGTTCGGTATTTTGCTCAAAGAGCAGAGCATGCCGAGCGTAACCATAATCATGTGATCAGCGAGCGAACAGAGCAGTTGAACGCTGTATCAGAGTGCCAGAAATTTTAATAAACGCGAATGAGCCTACACCGAGTACTCTTCTCAAATAAACGAATAGTAAATTTAAACTAGGAGAACTCAGATCAAAATACCGAACGCACGATCTGTAGTTTCGTTTGCGGATCTATAAATTTTACATGTTCTAGAACAGGCTCAGGTTGCATTTTGAGAGTGTAGTGCAAATTTTCACCACAATTTAAATTAGTTTCAAACTAGCTTAGATTGTGCACTGCACTTTTTGTTCTATTCTAGTTGCTTTACACTTTCTGAACTGCATTTTTTGTACTCCATTTTCTGTTCTGTCCCATCTGCACAGTACTTTTAACACTGTAGTTTCGTTTGCAAATCAATAAATTCTAACTGTTCTAGAACACACTTGGTTTCCATTTTGAGAGTGTAGTGCAAATCTCTACCACAATTCTAAATTAGTTTCAAATTGGTTCGAATTGAGCACTGCACTTTCTGCTGTGTTCTAGTTGCTTTATACTTTTTGTACTGCACCTTTTATTCTGTTTTTTTTTGCACTGCACTTTCAGTTCTGTACTTTTTGCCTGCACTTGCTGCCTAGAGCAAGTGCAAGTTATTCGAAAGTGCTATTACAGTTCTTTATTCGCGGTTTAATTAGAATCGGTTCTGGAGTGATTCTAACTTAGTTCTAACGATTCAACAAAAACTATAAGATCCAGATTAAAAATTCTAAGTTTGCTGATTCTAGGAATTTAATTCAGAACCAGAGTTTCTGTTGCCTGTTTCGAAAATATTCACGGTAAAATAAAATCCCGACTCTCTCTACTACAATAATTTTCAATTAGTTTCAAATTGATTCAGATTGTACACTGCATTCTCTGCTCTACTCTAGTTGTCTTACACTTTCTGAACTGCACTTCTTGTACTGCACTTTCTACCCTGTACTTTCAGTTTTGCTCTTTTTTTTTATACACTGTGGCAATAATTTCTCTTTAAATAGGAATTCAGAACAGATTCGGAACTATTCACATACACAATTTAAATCAAATCATTTGCGGATCAATAAATTGTCCTTGCTCTAGAGCACATTGAGTTGAAGGTACAGTAGAAAATTTTGTGTTCGGATTGATTTGAGTATTGAGTGTTCAACTATTCAAAATCATCGCTCCCAGAGCGCTTCCCGTCTAGGCGGTGACTTCACGGATGCTCCGAGAGCGACTAGAATCCAAATGAGAGCACACCATTTGTAATCAATAGCCGAATCTACCTTAGCAAGAGCAAGAAAGAGTTCTTCCTGCGAAATCAAGTCAAACACGTGAATCTCGCCGAAAATACTGCTCCGTTTTAAACTGTATTCTAGTTAGTCTACACTTTTTAAATTGCACTTTTTGTACTGAATTTTGAACTGCAGTTTTAGCCTGCACTTTCTGTTCTGCACTTTTAGCTTTGCGCCTTCTACTATGAACACTGTGGCAATACCTTGTTTCAAAATGGAAGTTCAGAATTGATTTGGAACTATTCGCATTCACTTTAATTAAACATTAATTCTACTTGCTCTAGGGCAGACTTAGTTCCCATTTTAGAACTGCAGCCCACGATTCCGTGTTCAGATGACAATATTTCAAAATAAATTTCAAATTGGTTTGGATTGTACACTTCACTTTTTGTTTTACTCTAGTTGCTCTACACTTTCTTGAACTGCTACTTGTAATGCGCTTTCTGATCTGTCGTTCTTGCACTGTACTTTCAGCTATGCAGTTTCTAAAGTCAGAAAAGATTTGGAAGTATTCGTATATGCAGTTTAAATTATATTGTTCACAGATCAATATATTCTAATAGCTCTTAGAGCAGATTCAGACAAACAGAACAGAGTAATAGTTCAAGTGTTCAGTCCGTCTTCCATTTTTTTTCCTTTTGATGAGAAGAATAGGGCTAGAAAACAATACAGCAGCTCCGAGCGTCTACACGAACTTTACCAGTATGATTCAGAACTGTTTCGGAAATGGAACTGATACAAGGAATTCAAATAGAATATGCAACTGGATATTTGAAGTAATTTATATGGAGTTATTGCAAATGGCACAGAATTAGAACAGTCGAAGTAGTTCGGACAGTTGAACAGATCAAAAAAAATCAGTGAACTTGGAACAGTCAGAGTAGTTCAAAATCCGGGTTATGTTACGGGGCTGATTTGCATAGTCTCAACACAGTTCCGGAACTAGTTCAATGTTGTACATACTTGTATTGTTTTAGAACAGTCATGTTTGTGTCCCAAATCCTGATATAAATCAAATTTTTGATCTGTGCTATTACTTTTCCTACTCTAGAACAGTTTTAAACACAAAACTATACTAACCTCATATGTTCCAGGGACGATTCAGAACATTTTAAAGCTACTTTTTATTGTTTTTTCATCCTATTCACCTGTTCCGAACATTCTTAAAACTCACTCTGACGCAATATTCTTTTTATTAGAGTTAATTCCGAACACGTTTTAGAAGGTCACTCTACATTTTTTCATTGATCCAAATTATCCAGAGTATTTCTAGAAAGTCACTCTAAGGGCGGGTATTATAGAACTATTTTCATGGATAGCAAAAAGTTAACTTGTGGAATTACTATGGAAAGTAATATCATTCCAGAAGATGAGTTTTAAGTAAACTGTCAACATAGTTTCATAATACCCCACCCTTATGCCTCATTCACAGTTGCGCGAAGTTCGCTCATTTTACGCGAAATTTGCTCTTTTTTTGACATTGCTTCGACTATTTGACGTTTGATACACGCATAAAACATCAAATTGTCGAAGCAATGTCAAAAAAAAGCGAATTTCGCGCAAGTGAGAATTAAGCTCTAAGCTTAATTCTCACTTGCGCGAAATTCGCTCTTTTTCAAAGTTTTCTAAAATCTAAATCATAAGGTACTACCTACTTCAGTACTAAAACCATGAAATTTTAATTTTTTGTTTTTGTTGAGATATTGTGTTTTAATGGTTCTTTGGGATGCCCTGAAATCCATACACTAAATTATTCTACTCTATCGAAAATCTTTAAAAAAAAAAAATAATAAAAACTTAATTTGAAGCAGGGAATCTTCGCATCTTTAATAAAAATATGAATAATCTTGGATTTTCGATTGATATTTGGCACTTGGTAGGAATGAGTTCTGTATGAGTGGGTTTTTGACACAAGAAGCCCAAAACCCACTGGGTTCTTGTCAGTATTGATACAAAACCCCAATGAGTATGTAATTTCAATCCCTGTTTGTTTCAGGAAACTGGCTCCAGAAGTTCAAGGAGTAATGATCGGTCGCGGCGCTTTAATAAAACCCTGGATCTTTACCGAAATCAAACAGGCCAGATTGTGGGACATTTCCAGCAATGAACGTCTGGACATGCTGAAAACCTACGCTGATTACGGCCTGGAACATTGGGGCTCGGACAGTCGTGGTGTGGAAAGCACCAGAAGATTCATGCTGGAATGGTTATCGTTTTTGTATCGTTATGTGCCGGTGGGATTACTGGAAAGACCTCCACAGAAAATCAACGATAGACCGCCCTTTTTTAGGGGCAGGAATGAGTTGGAGACTTTGATGGCTTCACCTGCTGCATCCGATTGGATTAAGATAAGCGAAATGTTGCTTGGGAAGGTACCAGAAGGGTTCAAGTTTATACCCAAACATAAGGCAAATTCTTATCAGTAAGAAATTTATTTTTAATTTATATATGAATGTAGCTAAATGCATGAGTGTTTGAGTGTGAATTAAGGAAACTCATTTTACAGAAATATAATAATTTTTTTTATTTGCATAAATATATATTATTTTTCAACACTCCTCAATAATCTTATAATCAAGTACATAATTAGTTATATAACACAAAAATATACTTATGGTTATTTTTTGTGATAAAAGGACCTCCTTTACATAATAAACTGTGCATCCTACTAAAACCTTAAATTCTAATAATTAGTTTTCTTTTTTTTTGACTAGAATACACTCAGAATTCATAAAATAGGTTGAAAATAAAAACTTAATAAAACAATAACAGCCTATAAATAAGTAAAATAATACCCTTCAAAAATATATTTCTGACTCTCAAATGGCTTATGGTTAATAATATACGCTTGAAAGATACATTTCAATTAAAAATAAATCGAACATTTTTGAAATATTCGTCGAATCGATAAAATAGTATACAAAACAAAAAATAAATTAAAAGTTGCTTCCCGGAAGTACCGACATCATCAGCCTTTTGAAAGAGCCGCTCTGCTGGATTGTTTCCGGATCGGTACCGATTGCGTTCAAGTAGTGAGGGTTGTTTTGGTTGACTACTAGTGGTTGTTTCTAAAAGAGAGAGATGCAATATTAGTAATGGGTTTTGATTGGTTTGGATTTTGTTGACAAACCATGCAGCAACCAATGAGAACTTTGTAATTGATAGAAGTGTTCTATTTTATTGAATCTTTGTCGATTTTGTTTATACATTGATCTGATATTCAGAAAGTACAGTAGAACCCCGATTATCCGAGTCGCAATTATCCAAGTTCTGGATTAACCGATTAACCATTCTACCTGTACAGGTAAAAGCTATAGGTGAAATTTGAGGTGTTATATTAATAAAATTATGTTTGACAAGCCTTCAAGTCCTAACTATTTACTCAAAAACTACAAATGGCAGAAATATGAAATTTTGAGGAGTTATTTTTAAAGGTTTGGATCAAAACATACTAAAATTTCAAAGCAATTGAGCTGCAAACAACAAAGTTACAAATTTTCTAGAAAAATAATTTTTTTTGGTAAAATCATCTTTGACAAGCCTTCATATCCTAATTATTCACTCAAAAACTACAAATGGCAGGAATATGAAATTTTGAGGAGTTATTTTTGAAGCTTTGGAGCAAAACATACTAAAATTTCAAAGCAATTGAGTTGCAAACAATAAAGTTACAAATTTTCTAGAAAAATACATTTTTTTGGTAAAATCATCTTTGACAAGCATTCATATCCTAATTATTCACTCAAAAACTACAAATGGCAGGAATGTGAAATTTTGAGGAGTTATTTTTGAAGGTTTGGAGCAAAACATACTAAAATTTCAAAGCAATTGAGCTGCAAACAACAAAGTTACAAATTTTCTAGAAAAATGCACTTTTTTGGTAAAATTATGTTTGACAAGCCTCCATATTCTAACTATTTACTCAAAAACTACAAATGGCAGGAATGTGAAATTTTGAGGAGTTATTTTTGAAGGTTTGGAGCAAAACATACTAAAATTTCAAAGCAATTGAGCTGCAAACAACAAAGTTACAAATTTTCTAGAAAAATGCATTTTTTTGGTAAAATCATCTTTGACAAGGCTTCATATCCTAACTATTCACTCAAAAACTACAAATAGCAGGAATATGAAATTTTGAGGAGTTATTTTTGAAGCCTTGGAGCAAAACATGCTAAAATTTCAAAGCAATTGAGCTGCAAACAACAAAGTTACATATTTTCTAGAAAAATACATATTTTTGGTAAAATCATCTTTGACAAGCCTTCATATCCTAATTATTCACTCAAAAACTACAAATAGCAGGAATATGAAATTTTGAGGAGTTATTTTTGAAGGTTTGGGGCAAAACATTCTTAAATTTCAAAGCAATTGAGCCGCAAAGAACAAAGTTACAAATTTTCTAGAAAAATGCATTTTTCGGTAAAATTATGTTTGACAAGCCTTCATATCCTATTTACTCAAAAACTACAAATGGCAAGAATATGAAATTTTGAGGAGTTATTTTTGAAGGTTTGTGGCAAAACATACTAAAATTTCAAAGCAATTGAGTTGCAAACAATAAAGTTACAAATTTTCTAGAAAAATGCATTTTTTTGGTAAAATCATCTTTGACAAGCATTCATATCCTAATTATTCACTCAAAAACTATAAATGGCAGGAATATGAAATTTTGAGGAGTTATTTTTGAAGGTTTTGAGCAAAACATACTAAAATTTCAAAACAATTGAGCTGCAAACAACAAAGTTACAAATTTTCTAGAAAAATGCACTTTTTTGGTAAAATTATGTTTGACAAGCCTCCATATTCTAACTATTTACTCAAAAACTACAAATAGCAGGAATGTGAAATTTTGAGGAGTTATTTTTGAAGGTTTGGAGCAAAACATACTAAAATTTCAAAGCAATTGAGCTGCAAACAACAAAGTTACAAATTTTCTAGAAAAATGCATTTTTTCGGTAAAATTATGTTTGACAAGCCTTCATATCCTATTTACTCAAAAACTACAAATGGCAAGAATATGAAATTTTGAGGAGTTATTATTGAAGGTTTGAGGCAAAACATACTAAAATTTCAAAGCAATTGAGTTGCAAACAATAAAGTTACAAATTTTCTAGAAAAATGCATTTTTTTGGTAAAATCATCTTTGACAAGCATTCATATCCTAATTATTCACTCAAAAACTACAAATAGCAGGAATATGAAATTTTGAGGAGTTATTTTTGAAGGTTTGGAGCAAAACATACTAAAATTTCAAAGCAATTGAGCTGCAAAGAAATAAGTTACAAATTTTCTAGAAAAATGCATTTTTCGGTAAAATTATGTTTGACAAGCCTTCATATCCTATTTACTCAAAAACTACAAATGGCAAGAATATGAAATTTTGAGGAGTTATTTTTGAAGCTTTGGAGCAAAACATACTAAAATTTCAAAGCAATTGAGTTGCAAACAATAAAGTTACAAATTTTCTAGAAAAATGCATTTTTTTGGTAAAATCATCTTTGACAAGCATTCATATCCTAATTATTCACTCAAAAACTATAAATGGCAGGAATGTGAAATTTTGAGGAGTTATTTTTGAAGGTTTGGAGCAAAACATACTAAAATTTCAAAGCAATTGAGCTGCAAAGAACAAAGTTACAAATTTTCTAGAAAAATGCATTTTTCGGTAAAATTATGTTTGACAAGCCTTCATATCCTATTTACTCAAAAACTACAAATGGCAAGAATATGAAATTTTGAGGAGTTATTTTTGAAGCTTTGGAGCAAAACATACTAAAATTTCAAAGCAATTGAGTTGCAAACAATAAAGTTACAAATTTTCTAGAAAAATGCATTTTTTTGGTAAAATCATCTTTGACAAGCATTCATATCCTAATTATTCACTCAAAAACTACAAATAGCAGGAATATGAAATTTTGAGGAGTTATTTTTGAAGGTTTGGAGCAAAACATACTAAAATTTCAAAGCAATTGAGCTGCAAAGAAATAAGTTACAAATTTTCTAGAAAAATGCATTTTTCGGTAAAATTATGTTTGACAAGCCTTCATATCCTATTTACTCAAAAACTACAAATGGCAAGAATATGAAATTTTGAGGAGTTATTTTTGAAGCTTTGGAGCAAAACATACTAAAATTTCAAAGCAATTGAGTTGCAAACAATAAAGTTACAAATTTTCTAGAAAAATGCATTTTTTTGGTAAAATCATCTTTGACAAGCATTCATATCCTAATTATTCACTCAAAAACTATAAATGGCAGGAATGTGAAATTTTGAGGAGTTATTTTTGAAGGTTTGGAGCAAAACATACTAAAATTTCAAAGCAATTGAGCTGCAAACAACAAAGTTACAAATTTTCTAGAAAAATGCATTTTTTCGGTAAAATTATGTTTGACAAGCCTTCATATCCTATTTACTCAAAAACTACAAATGGCAAGAATATGAAATTTTGAGGAGTTATTTTTGAAGGTTTGGGCCAAAACATACTAAAATTTCAAACCAATTGAGGTGCAAACAACAAAGTTACAAATTTTCTAGAAAAATGCATTTTTTTGGTAAAATCATCTTTGACAAGCATTCATATCCTAATTATTCACTCAAAAACTACAAATGGCAGGAATGTGAAATTTTGAGGAGTTATTTTTGAAGCTTTGGAGCAAGATATACTAACATTTTAAAGCAATTGAGCTGCAAACAACAAAGTTACAAATTCTCTAGAAAAATGCATTTTTTTGTTAAAATCATCTTTGACAAGCATTCATATCCTAATTATTCACTCAAAAACTACAAATGGCAGGAATATGAAATTTTGAGGAGTTATTTTTGAAGGTTTGGGGCAAAACATTCTTAAATTTCAAAGCAATTGAGCCGCAAAGAACAAAGTTACAAATTTTCTAGAAAAATGCATTTTTTTGGTAAAATCATCTTTGACAAGCATTCATATCTTAATTATTCACTCAAAAACTACAAATGGCAGGAATGTGAAATTTTGAGGAGTTATTTTTGAAGCTTTGGAGCAAGATATACTAACATTTTAAAGCAATTGAGCTGCAAACAACAAAGTTACAAATTTTCTAGAAAAATGCATTTTTTTGGTGAAATTATGTTTGACAAGCCTTCATATCCTAACTATTTACTCAAAAACTACAAATGGCAGAAATATGAAATATTGAGGAGTTATTTTTGAAGGTTTACCCTGTATACCTATATGTATTCGGATTCTCCAAGTTTTCAGTTTACCTCGGATAACCGGGGTTCTACTGTAGTTAAAAAATGCTTGAATCACATCATGCTGAACTCTGAAAACATGCAAAATGTGCATCAAAATCAGAAAAAAAATGTGCAATATAATATTAATTGTTATTTGAAACCAGTTACTGAAGGATTTATTGATAAATGTGTATTTTAATTGGTCATTTTCTGTATATGAGGTTGTTTGAAAGAGGAGATTCAAATTAAACCATTCCAAAAACAAAGATTTACAAATACATACAACATAAATGTACATTTTTTAAAGAGCCAATCTACGAGGGATGGAGAACACCTAGAATAATAAAAAGAAAAAAATCCTGTAATAAGGCTTTTATTACAAGATTAACACAAGAAAAAAGTTAGAATAATTTGCTATTAGGTTAGGTTTAAGTTAATGAATAATGCACACAAAAAAACCGTTATTGGAGGAATATATCAACCCAAACTAATTTTACATTTGTGAATCCAGAAAAATTAAGAATATAAATATGTAACAAAATTTCCTAATCCCCATGCCACTGGTATTATGTCAACCTGCTATACGGCCTGTCAACTACGAGATGTCAACCATGATAGTGGAATAACGCAAATTTCATTTCGTTTTCTTCCTTAATTCAAGATCAACATACAGTATTAGTTTTCTCTATCGGTTAATTCTTCCCGTGCACTCAACTTCCCTAATAATTATCTTACAAATTGGCGCCTAACGTGGGGCCACGGTGAGTTTCAAAACTGGTAGTTGTTCGACAAAACTTATGGTGTTTTTCGCGCTCGTTTGGTCGAAAAACAGCCGAATTGTGAACAACTGTGACATGTTAGGTACTGCATGAGTTATCACTGGTTTTGTGTACTTTTTGTATGAATTATCACCGACATTTTGTCGAAATCTTTACGAATACAAATTATTTTGTACATCGTTTACAAATACAGAAAAATATTGTTGGTTTTTGTATCAAAATGAATAAATAATTGTTAATTGGTATTAGTAAAGTTTAATAAAGCGAAAAGTCACACTTTGCGCATACTCAGCATTTTACTAACGTTTTCTAATGCAGCAGGGGTATAGCGAGCTTAAGCGGTCTTAAGGGTACTTTTAATGTCTTTTACCTTGGTAGGGGTGTAAATTTTCGTCTGCGGAGGTGTCACCTCTTGCACCGTTTGATGGCCTCCGAAACCTCCGTCGTATTGTTGTTCTTGCAAGTACCTATAGGTTTCGCTCTCGGCCGGATTGAATTTTACTGTACGTTTAGCAGGACTAAAAACAAAAATTGATATTGTACTTTTAAATTAAATAAATAATTCTTAAAGAGGAACTTGAAAAACATACAAAAAAAATCAGAAAAAAGACAAACACGGTTTCAAAAAGATTTTTTTGAGTTTCCAGAACCCTTTTATCCAATTAGAACAAATTTGAAGTGAGCAGTTGAAGTTGACACCAAAGTTTTTGAAATTACGTATTTACAAAAGAAACAATTAAAAACAAAATTAAATAAAAATAACCAAAACATTTATAAACGCTACTTGCCTTTTAACTTCACTGCAAAAATTGAAAAAAAAACAAAAATTAGATAAAAATTATTAATTAAGTATTTTTCAGTTTTGTATATCTTGTTTAGTATTTTAAGCGCTTGTGACTTTTGTAAGTGTATTATTTCTTTATACAGGGTGTACCATTCCAAACGAAACAGGCTAAATATCTGATGTCACATTTATTTTTTTTTTAAATCGCTCGTACACGTAATTTGATTCCAAATGGAACAGGGGGTCGAGTGATACCTGTTTTAAAAGAGTATTCAATTTTTTTTCAAATGAAAGATAATTGAACGCTCTTTTAAAAGAGGTATCACTCGATCCCCCGTAGTAAGGGTTGGTCCCACCCCGCCTGAGGGGTTAAAGTTGAAGTGCTAAGAATGGTTGTAGAAAACTTCCTCTTTTGAAAATCAAATTACGTGTACGAGCGATTTTGAAAAAAAATAAACGTGGCATCAGATATTTAGCTTGTTTCGTTTTAAATGGTATACCCCGTATGTATTATTTTTAACTGGCTTGATAATACTTACGCATGTACTCCAGTTTGCCTGTGAATAGTGTCGACAACATTGGGCTCGCTGTACATGTTGATTGGAGAGTTGAATTGTTTGTGAACCAACTATAGAAAAAAATACAATAAAATAAAATATAAACAAATAATAAGAAAACATTATTTTTATTTATTATTCTTTTATGTTGTTATTTGAAGCAACGGTACTTTCCAGTCACTTTGGAGCAAAACATACTAAAAATTTAAATCAATTGAACACTTGCAAAGTTACAAGGTTTTTGAAAATAGACATTTTCTTCTTTAAGACTAAATATGACATGCCGCCATATTTTGACTGTTTACTCAAAAACTACTTGATGTACAACTACAAATATGAGATTTCGTCCTAAAATTTTAAAGCAAACAACAAAGTTACAAATTTTCTACATAAATGCATTTTTTAATGAAATAAAATTCAAAAAACTTCCATATCTTAATTATTTACTGAAAAACTACAAAAAGCAGGAATATGAAATTTTAAGGATTTATTTTTGAAGCTTCGGAGCAGAACATACTGAAATTTCAAAGCCATTGAGATGCAAACAACAAAGTTACAAATTTTCTAGACAAATGCACTTTTTTAGTGAAATTTTTTGAAATCTTGACACATTCATGAGTAATCGAGGCTCAGTAGACCTGGCCCCCCCCCCCCCAGTTGATAATTTTTATTCAAAACGCTAGCCCTCGTTCTCCAGAGCTAGCGCAACCTAGCGCAACTTTTTCGAAAGCTAGTGCAGCTACAGTCAAAAGATATGTGGCTTTATATTCGGGGGGGGGGGGGGGGGGCTAGGGTGACGCTAGCCCCCCCAGTTATTCGATCTTCTCAAAAATGCTGGCGCACATTCGTAACACCTAGCGCAGCCTAGCGCAAGTTGTGTCATAGCTAGCGCAGATATCGTAGCTGTCATACAGGGTGGACAAAAAAAATCATGAGCCCCTACAAGTGATTTTTAATTTTTCAAAAATATATATGGAGCTTCCTTAAAGCTAGCGCAGGTAAAATTCGAGCAACCGTATTCCCCTTTAAAACATACACACATACAGGTATAATAGGGAAAAATCAAAAATCATCCTGTATCAATGGTATCATTGAAGATATCGTGATACGGTTTTTGACAATTGACGTTTCACAAAAATCGATCCCATGACGTTTAAGTCAATTTTCCTCTATATGGTCTGGAAGTGTGTTTTTCCTATTGAAACACTCCAAATTGCAGCACCCTGTACATCGTGATTGGCCTATTGTGAAATTATCAAGATATCAAGCTTTAAATTTGAAATTTTGTATTGGGTATTTACAGGAGTAGTTAGTGTGTATGTAGCATGCAAAATAATTCAAAAATATTATTAACCTGTTTGTTGGGATCCCCGGTCACTATTCTTTCTAGTACTGTGTTGGCAACCTATAAAAAAAAACACTAATCAAAAAAAAAAAAAATATACATATGAGTTATCAATACGTAGGCCGATAACAAGTTTTTAAAAAACAATTTATTCACTAAATTACAATAGAGAAATACTTCGCGTTGCGCGTTACAAAGTTTCAAATAAGAAATATAATTACAATTCAACTGACTAACTATTCTAGGCGGGCAGCGATATTTATAATAAAGAAAAGCGAATTAAGCAGTTTATATGAATGGTCAGCAAATAGAGCTGACATTACTCCTCCCTTCTTGAGATACAACTTCATGCTAAGCGAGGAAGTTGGATTGGTCGGGCTTCTTCTTCGGGGTGGTTGTCCCCTCTTCGTTTCTTCAACTTCGGTGCTAGTTTCTTATAGCCAAGAACAGCACACCCAGCAAGGATCATAGCATATATCAGAATGGTTCCCAAACTTGGTAGTCTTCTGATTTCAGTAAACGTCAAACGGTTTTCGACAATCTCATTAGCTAGTTGGTGGAGATTGTCCAATTTTATGGTTTTCAAGTGTGTACCTAAATTCAGGGAATGCATTAATTCAGGTACATTTGGAAGGTCAGGAAATAGTATAGGTTGTGCATCTGATTTCAGAGGCTTCTATTCGTTGATAATCAGTCTCGAAGAGATAGTTATTTGGTATACGAACTAGAAAGGTTCCAATAACTTTTCTGATTTCTTCTTGTCCAAAGCACTTGAGTTTTATAGGTACTTTAGCCGGAAGTACAAATACCCATTGATTGGATTTGTCCAATCGATTGATTATTGGTTGTGTGATTTTGACTTCAGTTGGCTTGCAAGTAGAAGTGTCTTTTTCAGAGTTCAGTAGCTTTACTTCACATGGACTGCTGTCTTGAAGTTCGTGGAGTTCTTCTTTTTCGCATATGTGGAATTCAGTAAGGATTTCCTGGCATTCTTGGCCATAATGTGCGTAGTGCAATCCGTTTTTGAGAAGATATTTATTTTGTGGAAGGACTACCTTAAACTGACTCCGACTTTTGATTGGTATTGAATATAGGTGGAAATAATCGAAAGATTCAGGATGCATTATAGGTATATGGACCAAATAAGTTATTTTATTGTTAAGAATAAATGATTCTAATTTGATGATTTTTTCACACAAAAGAATGTTCTCAACATTAACTGCTAAAGGCATTTGTTCATTACTTAGTTGTTTTTGTAATTTGATAAGTTCTGTACAGAGATCTTCAGTTCTCATTATGCTAGGATGCATAATTTTTAACTTGGAAAAAGTTAAAGAGTTTTCGACATCTTGTAATATTGAATCTATTATTTCATAGACATTAATAATTTGATTAATTATGTCCTTAATATAAAGAGAATTTTCTCTATAAGCCGATTTCTCTACTATGTGTGCGATTTGATTGATTTTTGATTCTAAGAGTTTCTCATTATAATTTATTTGTTTTATCGTCGTATTGAATTTTTCAATAACAGTTAAAGAAAGTGAATTTTGTTTCAAAATATTTGCTTGCAAATTCTTTTGATTTCCTTGCAATTCCCTTATAAGATTTTCATAACGTTTGCCATCGTCAGCGTCGAGGTTTCCGGTTACGGATTTGAAAATTGACCCTAGGCCGTTAATCAAGCCTCTTTTTGTTCTTTGTGACTGGGGAATTATTTCTTTAATTTTGTTATCTACTCTAATTTGTATTAGTTGAATTAATTTGATATAATTACCAGAGCTGGGCAAGCTACTTGGAAAAAGTAGCTAGCTACAAGCTACAAGCTACTTTATATTGTAAGTAGCTAAGTTACTCAGTAGCTCAACTACCTTTTTGAAAAAGTAGCTAAGCTATTAGTAACTTAACTACATTTTGAATTAGTGAAAGCTACTATTTAAGCTACTTTTATCAATGTACATGCCTTACCTAATTTAATTTCATATCATCATACGAAAATAATATATTAACTTTAACTTTCTTTTAAGAAGTAGTATTCATATTTTTGTCAAAAACCACTGGACATTAATTTATTAGGTTCATTTTGATCACAGTAGTGATCTGCGAATACGAGAATAAAATAGGACACATAAAACTTAGGTACCTACAGAGATAACTAGAAACAGAAACTAGTCTAAGGGCGGGTATTATAAAACTACTTTGAGAGTTAACTTAAAGTTAACTTCTGGAATTACATGTAATTCAAAAAGTTAACTTCAAGTTAACTGTCAAAGCAGTTTTATAATACCCGCCCTAAGCAAGGCAGGCTAAGAATTTTCAGGAAAATGATAATTGTAGCTTGAGCAATTAAAGTATAAAGTTATTTTTATCGAGCGGTAAATTCAAACGCGGGCGATAGGTTGGTGGAAACGTGCCTTTATAAGGAGAAAACTGTTTATTTTTGAAAACAATGTCGAATGGATGCCATTATATTATAGGTATAGTTATTTTATTTTTGAACTAGAAGAGTCCGCTGCGCATAGAACGTAATAAGTATTTTGGGCGTTGAGTATCGTTAACCACACCCTCGGGCGATAAATGACACTTTCCGCCATTAATACCTAAATAACTATTAAATATCTACCAAAAGTAGCTTAAGTAGCTTGTTTTAGTAGCTAGCTACTTTTCACAGTAGCTTATGAATACTTGAAACACATTACCAAAAGCTACAGCTACAAGCTACTTTTTTTTCAAAGTAGCTTGAATAAGTTATTAGCTACCAAAAAAGTAGCTAAGCTAGTAGCTTAACTACTTGGTAGCTAGCTACTGCCCAGCTCTGATAATTACTAATATCTTCAGAATACTCTTTGTGTCCATTAAGCATGTTAGTGATATTATTGGATTTAGAGTGTAGTTTGTTAATTTCGATAAGTATGGGATTTAGGTCATAGTAGTGTATCAATGTGTAGGTGTAGTCTCTAATTTTTGCATTTCCAAGTTTCACTGGGATAATTCCAGGATTATCGTCCAATTTTCTTATGGAGATTTGCTCTTGGTTTCCTAATGCGTGGGTTATAAAGCTTAGTAAGCGTAAGCGTGAGGTTATCATATTCATATTTATTAGTACCAATATTATTATACTTATTACCTATTTATTAAAATTAACTTAAGTATCGAAACTATATTTGTTTCTTAGAGGACGTTTAATATTGTCCATGTGCACTTTACCTAGAGTGTCCGTTGTTATTGTTTTCCGTGTGGGGTCAACGGTCTTTATTTGTGTGGCTGGTCGAAATTTGTCTCCTAATTTTTGGCATGTATGTTTCTTTACATATATTTTCTGTTCTGGTCTAAATAATGTTGGCTTATCACGATTTTCATTGATTTTGCCAATTATTTTATTTTTTGTATCCATAAGACGTTCATTTATGTTGGAATACAAGAGTTTTGTTTTATTTTTGTGCTCGTTGACGTAATCTGTAATTAGGAGTTGATCTAACTTAAGATCGAATGGGTCATTGGGACTTATGTGTCCTGTGATTATGTCAATGGGCTTGTGTTTGGTTACAGAGTGGATCGTATGATTGTATGCTAAGATTGCATATTTAATTTTTTGGGTAATTGGCGTTTTTAGGAATCCTTGATTGTTGAAAATTCTTATGTGTTCAGATAAGGTTGAGTGGAGCCTCTCTATTACGCCATTAGATTGGGGATGTTCAGGAGAACAAAAATGTATTTTTACTTTGTGAAGTTGGAGTAGTTCAGTAAGAACAGTATTCTTGAACTCAGTTCCATTGTCTGTGATTATCTTTGATGGAATGCCATGATGTGAAAAGAAGGATATGAGATTATCACATATTTCGGTAGCGGATAAAGATGTAAGGGCATAAGCTTGGGCATATTTAGAAAAACTGTCTATTATAGTAAGAAATTTAACCTTAGCGAGAGTATATGTATCAAGGTGGATGATGTCAAGTGGTTTTGTTGCAGAAGGCGTGATGTTCATTTCCATATTTATTGGGTGACGTTCATATTTGCTACGTTGGCAAATTTCACATTCATTGATAAATGATTGAATGGATTCTTTCAGGTTAGGCCAATAATATTTTTCCTTAATTCGTCGCTCAGTTTCTTCGATTCCTCGGTGATTTGTCTTGCTCTCATGGTAATTTTGAATTACCTCTACTATTTCTGTTTTGTTGACATCAATTAATTTTATCAAGCATCTTTTAAATTTAATTGAAGGCCATTTAAAGTTTTTCCTTATTATTTCGCAGAAAGGTTCGTAAGTATCTGGATTTTCGAAATAAATGGAATATAACTTTTCGGGTACTACATTTTCTTTCACAAATTGCATGACGTCATTCTCAAAATTATTTTCCGATAATTGGACTAGAAATCTTCTTTTCTTTTCGAATAATATCAAGCGTTTTGTTTTTGCAGGTGAATGCAAAACGCTCGTAATAATCACTTGATTAGCTCCGTAAGGATCTTGTTCGCTATTTGTATGTATGGTTTCATTGCTTTTATTTGCTTCGTTGTTTTTGGTATGGGATATTTTTTGATTGCGTTGACTCTATCTGGGTTAGGACGTACTCCTTCAGGTGTTATAACGTGTCCTAAGTGTTGTGTTTTACCAGTTTATAAAAATACCTATTTTAATTGTTATAGATTGTCATTGTCATATATGTTAATAGCAGTCGGTCAGTGACAAAAATTATAATCATTTTGTGTTGGCTAATAAAGTGAATTAAAGCTCAGTAAGTGTGTTTCAATACACAACATAATTGGCGACGAGAAGTGGTCCGAACCAACGCGTAGAACTCGAAAAGTTAGTAAAACGGTATCGGCTTTTTTTTTAGATTCGTTTGTCAAAACTGCTGTCAAAAGTGTATAGGCCTCAGTAAAAGCACGCAGCATTAAAATGTCTTTGATTGGGTCAATTGAGCAATTTAACTCTAAGTCAGGTGATATTGCATCTTACCTAGAAAGACTAGAACAGTTGTTTATTTGCAACGTTGTGGAAGACGACAAAAAGGTACCCCTTTTGTTGACCCTAATAGGAGGCGAAGCTTATAGTG